TGGCCCCCATTCGGGATACCCCAACGGAAGCCAGATCCGAGCACAGTCTGTTTAACCCTCTGCGCCACGTCATAGCCTGTCCACTTCGCTCTTTCTTCCAGCCTTGACCCATAGTGTAAGGTGTGGCAGCCGTTTCTCAGTGGATCGTAGGACGTGCCCTAGTCACCTAAAACGATGGAGTGATATTATTTTACTCAATGAAGGACTATCTGATCCTAACACACGTCGTCTCACCTCATCGTTATTCACGCAATGCCAGCCATACAGCAATGCGGTGCGTACACACGCTCTTTCAGTGAAATGGATGTCGCGCGGGCGCCAGAGATGCCGCAGATTGGTATACGCTAATCTAGCTTTGGTCACGCGTTGAGAGATCTTGCCCACACCGCCAGCCGTTATCCAACTCCCATGGGTAGACAAAGCTTTCGACTACTTGCAAGGTATCATTACCCAACGAAAGTTCAGGAGCGGGTTCTTGCCAATCTTGCAACAACACTTTGCGCTTTAAAGGTTCAAAAAAACATACTATAGCGAGTAACCTCAATTGTCAAACGATTCAGTGACTCGCGAGTAGTCGGTTGGTTGTCATCGAATAAGGCAATATCATCGGCATACCGTAAGTCTACGATTCTGTCTCCAGGACGAAGCTCGACGCCAGCGTTCGCTGCGTTATGTAACGCGTTTTGTTGGACATCATCTATGACAAAGTTGAAGAGAAGCGGAGACATAGGAAAATCCTGTCGCACCCCACTGGTGACAGGAAAAAGGGTGAAAATTCACCATAGGTCCTAACCTTCCCCGAGGTCTGGTGATAGAGCGCTTTGAGGAGCGAGACATACTTCTCGGGTACTCCGTATCTCTGCAAACAGTTCCATAGTGCGGGGCGGTCGATAGAGTCGAAAGCCGCTCTGATGTCTAAAAACAGGACAATGGTTTGTCGTCTGTATGTGTGACAGTGTTCTAGTAGCTGACGAAGGGTGATGATTTGATCTATGCATCCACGGCGTGCACGAAACCCGGCCTGCTCCTCGCGGATTTCCTTCTCACGGAATGGGCATAACCTGCGTAATAAAACGGACGCTAGCAACTTCGGCGCTATTGGCATCAAACTTATGCCCCTGTGGTTGGAACAAGTGTTGCGACAGCCCTTCTTGCAGATGGGTGTGACAATCGATTCTTCCGATGTTTGTGGTACACTTGCAATTTACCAGACCCTCGAGAACCATCTCAAAAGTTCTTTTACGAGAGCTTCGCCATCTTTAAAGAGAGCAGATAGCAGGCCGTGTGATCCAGCTGCTCTGTAGCGTTTCGGGGCTTGAAATTCCTTTTGGATCTTCGCTTCAGTGGGCAATCCCGTGGATAGTGACCAGGGGGCACTCCCAAAAGGACTGCTTGTGGCAGCCAGCGCGGAGGGATGGTATATCTCCGATCTGAAATGGCCTGCCCAGCGTCGGTGAAGGCTGTTTATCAGCGTGCCGTCTGCTTCGCAGATTGTTTCACTAACGCACTGTCTTTTGGGGCCTGTGATACGGATGAGCTGGAATAGTTGCCGGATATTTCGACATCCAGCTACTGATTCCACCTCCTTTGCACGTAGCGTCCATCAGGCCTCTCGGTCAGCTTTTAAGCTCTTTGTTAGTTCACGCTTCTTAGAGGCGCTGTTCATCATACTTGCGGTCTGCCGGGATTGCCCAATGTGCGTCAAGAAGTCTGAGGGGATTGGACCCAATGATTTACAACTGTGTGGGTTAAGCCACAGGTGTGCAAACCGGCTGAGTGTATTGCGTTTCGAATGGTTGTCCAGTGTTGATCTACGCTTCGTGGTGGGGTAGCAGCTAGATTCGCTGCCAACTCGTTTTGGTAATTGGCTAGGACGGCCGGATCAGAGAACTTGATGACGTCAAGCTGTTTGCATCGCATCTTTTTGTAGCCACCAAATAGCATAGACAACTTGGCACAAACCAGTGCGTGGTTGAAGTCCAAGCAGGTACACCGACACGAACGGCACACATGCTTTCCATCTATAGTCAATAGCTATATGATCAATCAAACTCCACGTCTCTGCCGAAGAGGGGTTACGCCAGGTGGCGAGGTGACGCTTGGAGTGTCTGAATTTCGTGCTAACGAGGAATAGGCCGTGTTCTGAGCATATGCTAAGAAGTCTATCCCCATTATCTGAACAACAGCTATCAAGGTCATGATGGCCACCAAAGTGAATCTCACATATATATATATATATATATATATATATATAACACCGGCTTGTAGACAAGCATGGTTACAACGCTACAACAATGATAAGGGATAGGTCAATTGGGGGTACAGAACAGAGTGCAAAAAGAGTGAAACAGTTAAACACGGGAAAAGGAAAAGAACTGGGATAGCAAAATTTTGTGTGTTTCACCGTCACCTTTTTGATATTCTTTTGTGTTGTTTGTTGTTTTTACGGGGCACGGGATTCCAGGAGGCAGACCGTACATTATGCGCACCACTAAATCTGATCGAGTGACAAACGACCAACGCGTGCGTTTATATCTCTGACCAGGATCACGATATCCGTCTTAGGTGCTTTAAGAAGAAGCTCGTCTAGGTTGTGATTGAATGGTTCTTGGCTGCATCCAGTCTACAGTCTGGGATCGTATGCAGAAACCACGAGTAAACATCGATCGTTTGGTTTCGGCTTTACTTGAGACTCTGAGTCTCACTACGCATAGTCACTTATCTAGTTGGATCCAATCCAATAGACCACCCTCGACCCTGGCGCTCAAGGCATTGCCAACGTCTGCTTGACCAGACGCGCAGTTGAAACGCTTCTTTCGGTTCGGTGGGAAAGGTTAATCGGATCACTGAGCTCGGGTCCTAGATGCGTGTTTTCGAGAGGCAACACATCAATCTCTTGACTTTCGAGCCTACGAGCCAAACCTGCTTGTTGCCCTATACGCATTAAGGTTCTAGTGTTTAGCGAAGCCAGTTTGAATGCAGAGTGCGGTCGGAGGAATGGACTGTTCGGCTCCGAATGACAGGGTATTGCTGAGACAGATGTTAAGAAGGATAGCGGTGAGCTACGACATGAACCTACGTCAATGGAACCATTCGGGATGAGACATACAATGGGAAGAGTGGGTGGGGGTAGTTGGAAGTGTTGCGTGCACAATTGGAGAAGAGAAACTTTCACGTGAGTGTCAGCATCTGAGCGGTGTATGAATACATGAGTCCATGGTTAGATTATAGGCGTGGTACTACTCGGTTGCCCCGGGTCGAAGTACAGGGTTTTCTTGGGGAACCTTATTAGGAACGTTTGGTTAGAGAGTCTGGCGCATAAGACAACGGAGTGGAGTAGGATGTCCACGATCCTCTGTGAGCTGGTGACCAAGGGGGCGGGAGGGGCAAATCATACACTTTTCGAATGTGGCGAATTATCCAGGGTACCCAGATTGTCCTTGAGGCGTGCATTTGCCGGTGAGCGTCACGGTGGTCAACTCCAAAGGTTAAACTGAGACCGGTTCGGTTGCACCGAGGATCGTTGCCACTATGAGATTCCTACGCCAGGCGTGGGTTCTTTTGCCAACTCCCCTAGACTAATTACCGGTGGAAAGTGCCGGGCATTCGCCTTTACCCTCCCAAATTAGTGTTAACACCTCCGTCGCTAGAAGGCCGTGAGTAGGACTCCCTCAACAGAAGCTATTTGAGGCGCTTGGTCGTTTGGGAGTATCTCCGGAGGAGTTCGGGTTGAGTAACCATTTCGGAAAACCTTTTTGCTCAGTTATCAGGCTTTTGCCCTTCATATTGGTCGAAAGCGGAACAGCCTAAGTATACTCTAGTGAACACATTATCAATATCTTACTGCAAAATCATCAACTAACGGATTAATAACGGAACAACAATTAAAGAAACACAGACAGTTACCACGAAACATGGAAATTATCATGGCGAACCGTGTAAGGGATCTGGTATCTTCTTACCTAATAATTCAGATTATCTCACAGAGGCAGCGACAATTCCTAATGATGAATCGAAATTCAGAAAAATGTCCCACGATAATGGCAAGACATCCCAAATGAAGGCCCTTCATACGAAAACTTGAACGAAAGGGTTCTACAGATACCGCCACGTTTGAACGGGTTCGTCCAACAGGGACAACGTTTCCACGGTAGTATGGGCTGCCCAAAGTACACAAGAGTGGAGTTCCCCTCCGGCCAATCCTGGACATATGCAACTCTCCCTACCATGTGGTAACCAAATAGGTGGCTCATCTTCTGGTACCGGTGAGAGTGACGTTGACTCATAGGTTTGAGGAAATAACCAGTCTCATTGACGCCTTGAGTGGCTCAACTATCAAAAATCGCCATATGTTTTCACTAGATATTACATCTCGGTTTCCATCGGCAAACAACTGATTATCTGTGTACCTATATAAAAAGCAACGGGATTAATGTAGGCCTACCGACAAATGACCTCAAACAATTGTTATTTTTCTGCCTTCACAATGTGCAATTCAAGTTCAATGAGGAAACCTCTTGCTAGAAAGACGAGTCCGCACTGGAGCCCTTGTTTGCCGATGTTTTTGTTCAAACTAGAAAACGGTCTGCTTATCACACATATCGAACAATGCGTACTGTAAAAACGTTACTTCGATGATATTTTGCGCTTGGTCGTTTCTACAACGGACTGTACATTGGTAGTTGAAATTCATTATTGAAAATGAAGCAAACAATCAACTAGCGCATTTATATGTCTGCCTAACTCGTTGTAATGACGGGTCCATCAGGCAGTCAATACACAGGAAGGCGACATGGTATGAGCAGGATAGAGTGCCAGGTTCTGCTACCTTCTTCCGTATTTATTCCTTCAATTTCTCCTGCGAAGCAAAGTATGTTTGCCGCACGACCAGGTGCGTCCGAGCGCATCTGTGAACATCATCCTGAGTGGTTGAGAAATGGAGTAACTAAATCAATCACAAGTGTGGTCGTGTCGCCCCTTGTCGATACATCACCATGACCGAAGCGTTCTGACCCATATATGGAGTAAAAACGGAATGGTCTAAACACCGCTGTTTCGCATTCTAGCCACAGCGGAGGCATTTAGTATTCGTCTTCACAACCCCACCCCCTCTGTGTGCTCAAAAACAGTTTGTGCAGGTACCCAATCTCCCGTGACTAGATTGCCGATAAGTGACCTGTCATGAAGCATGGGAGCAAATGATAATTCGGGTCCAATTATGATACAAATTGTTGAATACTTAGACTACTTTTTCTTTGTAAATCCTTATTATATATTACTGGTCATATACATTGTCTTCAAAATGGTATGATTAGGACAAATCAAATTTACTGCTCAGTCATGTGAGTGGTAAGTCACGGCACTGTTTGCAATGTCCTGTTCAAGGTCCATTCGTCTCTTTTAGTCCATTTATATTGCATTAGAACGATGGCATGTATATACAGCTAAACTGCAACGTGTTCAAATCGGTGTACTTTAGCTTTTTTTACCTGCAGTGTATGCGTCTCACGTGGTGTTAGTGTAATAGTGGTGTGCACGCGCGTGCCTGTGTTCTTGTCAATAGCTAATCTAAATTAGAAATCTCGCACACTCACAATCATAAATTTAACACAGTCATGTTATAGACGTTGACCTGGTTTATGTACTTTCGTTTTATTGCACGATGTGCGCGTTGAGTGAGACCTGTCTGGAGCACAGATTTGACGTCTCACGATTAGGTGAAGGTTCAAGACCATCTAAGCAATTGACACTACAGTCATTTTGACGACATCTTTGGTCGTTGTCATCCTGGCTGATTGCAACTATTCAGTCTTCCCGTGCTAACAGCTACTCCTCTGTTTTTCTCATTGACTCCAACAGGGAGGAACCGATGCCCTTAAGGCCTTGCTTCGTCAGCGTCACAATCCTGATTTGGCGGGTCCACAAACTGCTCCGGGAACCAAATCACTAGAGTCTAGTTCGGCACACAAAAGCGAAGTTCAGCAGTCCGAACCAACGTCGCAGTCATCTGAGGTCCCGAGTTCCGTGCTCGCATCAGTAACAAAGACCTTGGATTCTGTCATGCAAAACGTAGAATACCCACCCGCTCCGAAAGCGTCTGGTACAGACTCTCAGAAAATAAAACCCTTTGTTGCATCTAAACTTCCCGGTCCCACATTGCCCGTAGTCAATCAGGCTGGGTTACTCGATTGGTCCGAGGAATCGAGAGGACAAGCAGATAAACCAGTCATCCCTCTGCCGGATCTGGATTCAGTTGAAGCATGGCTCTCAGCAGCTAATACATCACAGACGGCCCGGGTCAGTGTACGATCACTTCTACTGTCGCGTCGAAAACTAACCACAGTGCCAATAGGGTGAGCGAAATCAATTTTTCCGCCTAAATCTCAATTTTTACCATTGCAGGAGTGCGTTCAAGTGATTTTTTACAACTACACTGCCAGTTGTGCATGCACCAGACAGTAGAGACATCCAGAAAGGCTGTTTCGATTCTGGATGTGAAGTATTGGGTGGTAACAGTCATATACCGTTGTGAATTATTGACGACTCTTAAGATAATGAATGACTGCTGGAAATGAATTCCCTAGAATTAGACTTCTAGAACTTTTTGTAGCTGTGTTCCGTCTTCCTAAACGATGAAACACCATAGCAGTCTGCGTTACAATTAAATTGTATATCATTATTGTACGCATGATTGGCACGAGTCATGCACCTTTCCCCGTAGATTTCCTCGTTAAGAAACTTTTTAAAGACAAATTGTGACCGAAAGATCAAGGATAATGACCCTTTCGCAAACTGCCAAAAAGCTTTACCAGTTTGTTTTACGCAAACGGATGTAGGCTTTGGTACCACAGGATCAAGCTATTAGATGATTGGAACTAGTAGGGGTTATCAACGGGTTGCCTGTCGCCTGTGCGCATCTACTCCCTAACCCGTAATCAACCACTGGCGTTGGGGCATCTTCTCAATTTCTCTGCAAAATTAGTCCACTGTAGTTCTCCATTTTCTGTTTGACTTTACTTTCAACTTACTCGTCTTTCTCCTACTGTTCATCCAGATGGGTGGCCAAAAGACAGCAACGAAAACCGGAGCACGAAAGTGCGTGGTTGGTGGTTGTGCAAACTGAACTGAACTGTAATCAACCTATGTATTATCTGCCGTGATTCAAAAACTGTGGTTTTCCTTTTTGTACACCGCTCGGAAGGTTGACACTGCCCTGTCTAATAACAGATAATAATAATAATTCTACTATTACTAGTGACGTCATTTAACAAAGCGGTGCCTGGGCAATTATATTCGTTTATTACAGATTACGCTTAGGATATCGATTATTCGGCCTACTTGTAACAAGACATCTCATTTGAAACATGTCATCACGATTCCCGGCAGCACACAGGGTAATGAGTGTAACAGTCCGTAGTTATTCTTAGGAGCACAGCAAGTCGCTCTGAATGGTCTTGTTTATTTGTGACCGTTGAAAGAAACTGCCAATTGCATCTTTTTGCGAACCACTCACAAATGCGTAAAATCTCCCAACACTGCTAATACGAATACTGCTTATAATAATAACCTTGATTCTTCCCTCCGATTTCTCTCTTTGCGTTGCGGATTCCGTTCACCACAATATGAATTATGCACAATCACCGTCAAATCGAACTGAACTTCAAAAGCCCTGGATTCCCTTCGCAAATGTTCGTGGTCTTAACCAGATTAGCGGTTCTGTTAACTATTTCCTTCACTTCTCTTCCTCTTTTGCTCCATTCCTGTTTCCAGTTTTTCAGTTTGAACAACCATTAACCATGCATTTTCGTGCGCCGGTTTCAGTTGCTGTCTTTTGGCTGCGTAAATCCAACGCGGGAGCGTGAACGAAGCACCCGTGTGAGAGGTTCTGGAGACCTGTCACGCAAGGCCTTTGAATTTCGGTTCAGCGTGTTGTTCACTGGTGCGTTGATTATCGGTCCGCTTTTCGGGATCACCCGTTAGCCTCATGCACCCAATGAGACAAGCGGAACGTGGACGGGACAGCACCTTATTGGCTGGGAGCTGCCCAGCTTGGGCGGGCGGTAGCTGTCCAATGAAGTGCGAAGACTTCTCCCACCGCCGAGAGGAAGCCCCAGGTACCCCGTTCCTACGTCCATCTAGCGGCGGTTTTTTCACCGGTAAACTGCCCCTCACCGTGTTTATTTACTGGAGTGACCTCTCCAGGGGCGGGTGTAGATAGAAGAAAGAAGCCAGGGGGCGCCCAAGCAGCTGGCTTGTGAGACTGAGCTTCGTCTGGCCTCTACCCGTTGACCTTTCAGGCATGATTGGATCTCCGGCTGTTAGAAGCCATCCTGTGTAGCTCGCAGGGTCATGGAGGCACGCAAGCCATCACACCGCGTCAAGGTGCAGTCTCGTCCCTGTCCTGTCCCAAACTGCGTATCCTTATCCAGGGGTATTACCCACTTAAAACCTCTTGATGTTTTGGTGCACGGGTTTATGCATTCTTCCACAAATCCGTCTCGGCCTCACACCTTCCCACTTCTCATATCTACAACGGCGAGTTTAGTCACGTCGTTCGAGGCCTAACGTGCACAACGTCAAGTGGCTCGAAAATTCATCCAATACCACTCCGCTAGACCGAAAAATTAAAGCGTTTGCCATCACTGTCAACCTGTCTCGGTTTGTCCCCCTTCAAAATCGGGTTTTTGTTGCATCGAACAACTTTCCTATTACCTCTCTATTTCAGATGCATTTGCTGGCGTTGATTGTTCTGACGGGTGCAGTGTGGGTGTTACAGCTGTACGCCCCTGATTAGGGAGAACACAACTCACTGGACTGGAATGGGCTGACTGTACTTGTGTCAAAACGATTTACAGGGCTAATATTTGAAATACAGATCAGTGAAAACATCTGGTTTGTCTGTGATACTGAAATCAGTAGCGGCAGACCAATCACGTGACATCCGGTGTACGTGAGCTGCGGTAGAATTTAAATTCTCAATACAGTGAGTCTTTCTGGTATTCTGCCGCTGGTTTGATTGCTGTTTTACTTCTTACTCCCACACCTCAATACCTTCGATATTCTGTTGCACTATTTGCACATGTTTGTTCCTCTTTTCTCCAAAAGTGATCGGTTGCAGTCCTCCTAACGGTTCGCTCACTGACGCACAACGGTTGCCCGACGGTTATCATAAAGACAGACGACCAATTCGTGCGCCGTAAAACAGGCATCTGGTAACTGTTTATTTCTATCCTTCGTAATTTTGATTTATTTCTATTTTTCCCCATTCTTATCCTATTAGGCAGCTCTGTCTACAGCCCTTTACCCCCAATTCTATTGTCTCCATCATTGTGACCCCTAATCTTTCCGAATCTTCCTTTATTCCAAAAATTAAAACAATAGTTCGCTGAGACCCTCTTGTGTGTGATACATCTAAATCACTTCGGGCGGATCAAGTGTATTCTATTCCTCGAAGAACTATGCACCAGGACTTGTCTCGATTCTTCGCCATTTATTCACTACTGTATTTCCTTCCTTATGAAAAACTACATTCCGAATTCCCTCGCGTGGCTCTCCCTCTTGACCGAAGAAAACTGTCATCTCATCCCNTCTCATCCCCGAATCCCTTTAAAGTCATAGATCCCCTGATGATCTGCTAGCACATACCTGATATCTGGTTCAATAGTTGTAAATCGCATCTTGTTCACCTAGGTATATTACACGGCTCTTGTTTGAGTGTGACACGAAGATGAAGACATCCACACTTGATTTCCTTTTACTTCCTGGTTTTCTCATTGACCGCTCTCTGGCTACCCGCGGTAACGGGGCTATCTCAGATACTTGCCATGTCTACTGGCGTTCCGCATGGTTCTCTATTTCTCTCCATTCTTTTTTTAACGATAACATTATCTCAAATGCTTTTGCGGACGACACTGCTCTTTATCCTACTCCTTTCGCGCTTTATCCAACAACATCTCCCGTGGTCCATTAGATATGTATGACCAGAATAATAAACTCCGATCTCGATTGAATAGAGACCTGGGATTAATCTAGCGATGCATTATTCACCACCTCCAATAACTGCTTGTTTGTCTGTTTCTCTAACTGCTTATTTCCCTTTGATTTCTAAAGTTCCTCTCTCAATCTAACTTCTTGTTTTTCTGGGGCTTTGTTTTTATCCTTCTCTCGATCATCGCATGTCACGTCTCCATTTCATACTACTACTGCTACTACTATTAGTATTATGCGAGGCCCATTTACTCCCCACTCTTGTGGATTATTAGTCTTTTTTGCGGCGAAGCCTTGTCCACCAGTTTTCCTTTTCTCGGCCATTTTTACATTAAAACTGTTGGTGATCCAATTCTCATTTTATAGTCTACGGCCGGACTGTCGTTCTCACGAGCTCTCATATGCAGTATCAACTACCCCCCCCCCGGCTCACCCGTCCAACCCGCTCCCATACCACAAATTACCTTTCCCTACTTGTAATTCTGGTTTCGGTTCATCCTTCTCCTGAGAACCAGTAAGCTATTGATTGCTCTCCCTCTGTACTTCTCCCTAAAATTTTGAAACATTATCAAAAAGCTGTTCTTGGCATCACTTGGTCGCTGTTTACAGCGGGTCTTTGATTGTTGAATTTCTTTCTTCCACTTTGACCCATATTGATAACGCGATAAAAAGCAACTTTTCCGTGACTCAGTAACTCTCTTTTAGCAAACTTGCATCTCCTCTACCAATCTGGACTGCTGTCATCAGGATGAGAATTCAAACTCGTCCGTCGTGATCGCGAAGCCAGCCGTCTCATTACTGTTCTATTATCGGTTTCCATGCAGTCCCTCTAATAACTTCAGGCTTGGTATATTAAACTTGGATTAGCCCATTCACCCGTTCAGAGGCATCAGGCACTCTTAATGGTCTTGCATCTGGGTTTCACTCCTTGTGAGATCGGTAATTCCCCACGAGGTCATGCGTTCAAATGCGATCGGAATGTTTGTTTGTACAAAACCCGAATGGTACTCGGTACTTTAGTGCATGCCACATTAACAAGACACTTCATGAATCGTGACACTACTCAGTGACTCGGATGTATGCCGCGGAAGACGACACACCTTGTATTATCTCAGTGTTCGGGGTGTCCAAGACAATAGCTGGAATTCTTGACATCAAGTAATTTCTCCAGGTTACTTATTGGAGGGCCGGATTTCCCCTGGACACGGCAGTTCCGTGCATCGCTGTGCATTCTATTTACGATAGCAAATAGATATTGTTTACCCGTGAGTGGTGCAACACTCTGACTTTGCGATACGAAGAATTAATTAACGTTCAGTAAGGGAACACGATCTACTGGCTATCACAGTGAGGCAAATAACAACCCCGGGAGCTACCTGGAGTTGCTCCTTCTCTCAGTAATCATGCTTACAAGATACTGATCTCCCAAGG